CATGTTTTACTTATCTGTCATATTGTCTGGGAAAGCCCTTTTCCTATGAATAACTTTGAGACCATCTGTTGGGTCTTGTCTCTCCCCAAATGAAAGGTCTGATGCAAAGACTTAATAATTTTCCACTGACTAGCACCAGGAAGGAAAGATTTACTATCATCTGATTGTAGCCATCCAGATGGAAGGAACTGACACATACGGGAGAGAACCCATTCAATTTTTGACTAGAAAGTTTTGGGTCAAGTCTGATCAAGGGAATTTTCTCCAATCAGGAAAGCCTGAAGGAGGATCTGCTTTTTTTGCTCTGCATCACCTAGTTGATTTACCTTGAGATACTTCACTGTCCTTGACAGTGAATTACTGCCACTTTGGAGGGCATATAGACAGATGTAGCAAAAGATCATCTATTTTTATGATACTTTATGGGAGATCCATTGGCTGTTAGATAATTCTCTCTTTCCATATAGTTGCATGGGCATGTAATACTAGGAAAGCATGTTTTAAATCAGTATAAATATTGACTTTTTGTCTTTGCGAAGGTGTAGGGCTCTGGTCAGAGCCATGAGCTCCAAGAGCTGAGCACTAGCCCCGGGCACAAGTGAGGAACTTTCAAGAGTCTGATGAAAAGTTAACACAGCATAGCCTGCTTTTCTTCTCCCATTTTCCACCAAGGAGCTGCTACCATAGAAAAGGGTCAAATCAGGGTCTGTAAGGGGTGTGTCTCACAGGTCTTCTCTGGTTGCATACGTGTGGAGAATCATCTATTTGCAGTCATGTCTATCAACCTCAGTTTCCTCCTTTTATGACAAAAAGGTGGCAGGGTTTCAGAACACATCTTTATTTGAATGGCTGGTCCTTCTAGAAGTAGAGCCTGGTATTTAAGAAGTCCATTGCCTAATAGCTATAGGCTCCTCTTGGAAGAAAGAAGTCCTAAGTCCTGTCACATTGTGAAGTGTGTATACAGTGAGATCTTTAGCTAACATCAGCCTGGAAGCCTCTGGTGCTAAGAGAGCTGCAGCTGCTATAGCTCTAAGGCAGGCAGGCCATCTCTTTGCTAAGATGTCTAATTCATGACTCAGATACCCTATAGGCTGTTGAGTGGGTCCCTGGTCTTGTGTGAGCACTCTCAGGGCCATACCTCGCCTCTCATCTACATATAAATTGAAATGGTGTCCTGTAGGTAGGCTTAGGGCTGGGGCATTTGGGAGAGCTTGTTGAAGCTTTTGAAGTGCCATTTGGGAATCAGGCTTCCACATTAAAATATGGATATTTGCCTTTTGGGTCTCCGTTATAAGTTGATAGAGGGGTCATGCAGTCTTTCCATATCCTGGTATCCAGTGGTGACAAAAGTCTGTAATTAGCAGGAATCCCCTTAGTTGTTTTAGGGTCCTGGGCTGTGGCAAGGAAAGAATTGGTTTAATTCTTTTTTTTCCTTGTCTTCGGGTTCCCCTGATATGATGAGGCCTAAATATTTTACTTCAATAATGTAAATTTGTGCTTTGGATTTATTTTTTTCTGGGGGGCGGGGAGCAGTGGTGACTTTCTTGGCCAGGTGGCTCCTTGGGGGGATGAAGCATGAAGAGTGAGTGGCACCAATGTCAGGCCAGCCGTGCTTCATGGGTTTGTAGGTGATAGAGAACTCTCCCAGGTAATTACCAATGATCTCAGGCTGGATCTTCACCTGTTTGAAAGTCTTGCCATTGTAGACACCCGCCATGCTACCCACCATCTCGGGCAGAATGATCATGTCGTGAAGGTGTGTCTTCATCTACTCAGGTGAAGAGGGATGGGTGGGTGGGATGAAGACACGGGTTTCTGAAGATCATGGGATGGGTAGAGAGTGAGCAGGGCAGGTCTCGTGATTCTGAACCTTTCTAGAAGTAACAGGGCCTCCTTCAAAGTGTGGAAAGTTGAGCGAGGAAAGGGCTTGTGATCTATGGGGTCAGTGCGATCTCCCCGCAGGAGTTTCGAGTGGGTTTTATGGATGACAACAAAGCCTGGAATACAGAGGCTGAAGGATCATAGTGTGACAGGGAGGGAAGGGAGCTCTTACCTGGTGGTCCTGGGGAGGAGGGGGATTGGAATCCTGGAAATGAAGGGGATGCGGTCTGGAGACAGGGTGGCTTGGATGTGTGGGCAGAGAATTATGCCCAGGTAGTGACATGGGGAGAGATTTGAGCCTTAGAGGAAGACACACAGTAGCTCTTTAAATCTAGATGCTGAAGTAACAATAAGGTGTCTCTATGGGATGATCTATACCTGGTAGGAATTCATAAATAATTTGTAGGATGTGAGAGGATGAGGGATGAAAGGAGAGCAAATTATGGACAGGGCCTAATTCCAGTAATGAGGCTGTCTTGGAACCCCCCTTGGCAGGACAGTGCAGGTCAGATGTTGGGCCTGATGCATGTCAAGGTCTCTTGAGGGCAAAGGGAAGACAGGCTGTGAGGAGACAGAGGGACAGAAGGACAGAAGACAAAAATGCCCAGGGGTGAGGCATTTTCTTTCCTTCCTTCCTTCTTTTTGAGACAGACCTCGCTATGCAGTTCAGGCTCACCTTCAACTCACTATGTATTTAGAGCATTTCCTAAATTTCTTATACTCAGAACCAAAGTTAAGCACATAGCAGAGTTTCTCTGTCTCTCTGTCTCTCTGTCTCTGTCTCTGTCTCTGTCTCTCTCTCTCTCTCTCTCTCTCTCTCTCAAAAGAACGGAAACAAAACCAAAACAAGGTACGGCTATGCAGTTCGTGCTGGCCTTCTATCCCAGGCTGGCCTCTAACTTGCAGTGACTCCCCCTGCTTCATCCAAGGCAGAGAGCCTGACAAAGAAGCGGGGCTGAGGAGAAGCAACTGTCCTGGCAGGCAGGAAGCTGGGTTTTCCTGTTTTAATAGGAGCTCATATCCTCTTTAAGGACTGTGATATTTGCAGCTCAGGCAGTAGGAGCCTGGCCTGGGCCCAAGGCACTCTGGTGCAAGAGATTCATTGGAAAGTGGCCCTAGGTAGACTAGGCTGCACAGAGCAGCTTGCTCAGGGTTCCTGGAAGTCAGAGGAGGAGGGAGGAGGTGGGAGGATGAGCTGTGGGAGGGAAAAGCTAAACTAGGTCATCTGCTTGTAGGCTGTAGGGGCTCTGAGTGGTCCCTTTCTTGTAGCAGGCTGAGGCTAAGCTTCAAAGTGGGAGGCAGAGACTGGGGAGAGTGTTGGGGGTGGTTCTTAATTTCCCAAGAGGTAATGATATGGGTCATTCAGAATAGGAACCAGATCAGCCAGATTGGAATTTAGAAAGCCATTCATTTTTATTTTTTTCCATAATTTTATTGAGAAATAAATAGCAATGAGACAGTTTCAAATCAAATTGGTAGGACAGTTTCAATAATTAACACATTGCATACATTCTTCCTAGTAGTTAATTGTGTACAAGATGCGGACATGATATCCTATTTACAAACACTATTAGAACACATCCCTCTATTCATTAAGAGAATGTAACTATACATCTATCCTAACCATTTTGATTACACAGATACAAAATGGACATTCATCAGTATCCCCTTTTTTTGTTTAGTTCCGTCATTTGAATACCATAGTTGTGTTAACTCAGCAAACTATTCTAAGAGTCCAGTAGTCCATAATAGTATTGGGTCTTCTGCTTGACTGGCAATGTCAGAAATTGTTTACCTCTGTGACTCATCCACATGGCTGACACTGACAAAGGATCTACAATCTGAGGTACAGGATCTCAGGATAAATCCTGAGGGGATTTCACTGACCTTATCAGACCCAAAAGCTATAACTCTTGTTGCATAGGTCCTGCTTTACCTTAGTCTTAACCATCCAGCAGAAAAGTATAAAAATGAAGTATAAGAAGTAAAGCCATAGAAAGCCATTTATTACTGAGCTCAGGGACCCCAGTCAGTTCTCAGGCAGGAGAGGACTGAAAGGCAGCTAGCCCAGGAAGCAGGGGAGGCTTTAAAATGTGGAACCACATTCAGTTTGGTAAACAAAATTTATTGTCTGACACAAAATAATGCTTTCGGGGTCAGTGTGACCACTACTCAAACTAAATTTTCTGGGGCTTTGTTTTAGTTTCTGGTTATCTTGCACCTGAGTACGTGCATGCAGCCTTGCACAGCCCAAGGCTACAAGAAGCTAAAGCCCCTTTAGTTTCCTTTTGGAGTCATCTCTGTAAGCTAACTTTATTTACAGAAATTAGTGAGAATTTTATCTTAGCAAGCAGCAAAGAACAGCCACTAGTTACTAAACAACTTAGAACAGTGGTATTTTTTACATAACAGAACATACAAGATTTACATTTATAGTCTAAAATGTGAGTCGACCCATTACAGTAAAAACTGACGCTGGTGGGAAATGCTGAGGCGCGGTGTGAGAAGCGCCAGTCTTTGGGACTGGCTTGAGACAGGGATGGAGTTCCCTTTAAGAGGTGGAGTTGCACCCGTGAAAGCCTGCCCAGAAGGGGACTCTGCTACTGAGCCCGCGCCTCCGAATCCCGAAGACGTCTGCTTGCCCTACAGGCTACTTCCCCGGGCATAGCCGCTGACAGTCTGAACCCGCGGGTCGGATTAGGATGGCAAGGGCGCTTCATCGGTAGGGTAAAACTCACCGCTGGGGGGGGGGGGCAGGGCAACAATCCAAGGTGGAAGGGTCCGAAAGCGAGGTCCCTGCCGGCTGCTGGCCCCCAAGAGCCGCTGTGCTAGCTTTCCTGGCCCCTCCTAGTTAAAACTCCCAAAGGCCAGAAGGATCCTGAGGTTCTGCTACCGAGGTCTGTATTTGTACTGAAAATGAAGCTCAAGGAGCTTCTGCCCTCCTTCTCCCCACCCGAGCCTTCTGGAGCAGGCGGAACTGGCCTGGACTCAGACCTCCCATGCGCGCCTACGCCACACCGCTGATGACGTAGCGTGTGGCTATGTCAGAATGTAGGAGGTGATTATGGTAATGATTTAAGGTCCGGTACAAGTCCCCTTTTACCTTGGCGCCACCAATGGGCTGGCGGTTGCTAGGAAAACGAGAGGCTGGCGGCAGCTCTAAGGACTCCACCCCTGCTGGAGAGGGAATGGGTCAGATGACCGCTGCTCTGCGATAAGATCCCACGGGGGCGAGATCCCGGCATCATTTCTAATGGAGTCAGAAGATTAGGAAGCGGCCTTGGGGAGCACCTTTGCCAGCAGAAGCTCATGCTGTCCCTGTGTGGCCCAGGGGCTCTCTCAGCAGCTTCTGGGCTGAGCCAACCGGGATGGGCTTGCACTGCAGGGCGCACAGTCCAGGGTCCTGCAGTCCGCCTGGGGGCGGTGGTGCTGCTCCTGCTCCTACTGTGCTGGGCGCAGCTGACCTCTGGTGAGGGCTCCGAACTGCGTGGCCGGGATGACGGGACGGGACGGGATGGGACTGGAAGCTGTGGTCGGCAGGGCAGGCTTCTTCCCAGAGCGTCTATCTGCCTTTGGGCCGTCCTTGTTTTTCATGTTGAGACCCAGAAGAAAAGGAAGAAGTCAAATGGGAAAAGTTCACTTCACTGAGGTTTTATGGAGAGAGATGGAGGGCGTTTCTTCAGGGAGACCTGACTGTGAGCTCCTTTGCTCTTCTGGGGTTTTTCTTTTTCTTTTCTTTTTTTTTTTTTTTTTTTTTATTATTTATTTATTTATTTATTTAGTTTGTTTGTGTGTGGTCAGTTCAGCCCACCAGGGGGCAAGGCTGGCTGGCATGTGGTGCTGGGGGATCGAACCGTGGTCCCTGTGCTCTGCTTTGCTTAGCTTGTTCTAAGTAGGTGCGTTAGACCTCTGAGCCATCCCACCAGCCCCGGGTTTTTCTTTTTTAATTGTAAAATTCCGGGCAGGTCAGCTAGCTTGGGGGACTAAATTGCCTGCTTGGGCAGAGCGAAGGTAGCGGCTGTGATCCACCCCTGGTACCACGTGCCGGGCCGCCCCGCCCCTGGGACGCACCCAGAGGGTGACTGAGACTGCGCCAGGTGGCCCACGCCTGTAATCCCGGAGCTTGGGAAGCTGAACACAGGAGGATCACTACGAGTCCAGATCTGTGTAGTGAGACCCAGCACTAAATACATTTAAACACTGTGTCCACCTCACAAGCCACACACATGTTGATGGGAGAAAAGTGGTAACATTATGAAGATGGCAGTGTCCCAAATTCATCAAGAGATTAAGTGCAACTGCTATCAGAGTCTCAGCTGGTCACTTGGTACATTTTGTTTTGGAAGACATCTATACTCACCACTATACCACTAACACTACGTGTGTGTGTGTGTGTGTGTGTGTGTGTGTGTGTGTATTTGTTACAGGGTCTACAGCGTGTTCAGAGTCTTACAATGTAGATTTGACTTGTTGTGATTCTTTTTCTCAGCCTTCCAAGTGCTGGGATTACAGGCGTGTGGCACCACACCCAGTCTCAATCACTGTCTCAGGACACCCGGGCCAGGGCAGGCACAGCACCACTTGGTAAAAATTGATGAGCTCACTCTGAACTTGATGTGGAATAGCAAGGGACCTCAACAGCCAAATGAATCTTGCAAAAGAACAGAGGGATCTTAGAGGATGAATGAGGGTGGTTGTCTTAGTTACTCTTTACTCGTTGCTGGGACAAATACCCGACCCTCAAAATGAAGGAAGGAAAGGTTTATTTAGCTCACAGTTACTGGAGGGTTCAGTCCATATTCCGCTGGCTCCAAGGCAAACAACAGCAGCTTATGAGGCAGAAAACAATGAAAAGCAGAGGAGGAGCAGCGACTGCAGGGTCCATTACGCCTCTCCCTTTCTTCTACACTGACTGCAAAGACCAGCGCTCCACAGTGAAGATCGGACCTCCTCCAAAGTGGCGCGGCTGCCAAGATCAAGTTCCTCTAAAGACTGAGACTTCTCCATGGAAGCAGGGCACGGCAGCAGGGCGCAGGGCGGCAGGAAGCCTTTCTCAATTCATGGGTCCTGCCCACCTGCAGGGCTAGGCCCCCATGCTGAGATCTGCCAGAGCTGATTCAGCCAAGTTGACACAATGTATCAACTAACACAGTGGTGAATGGAGAGCCTCTGTCCTGAGTCCTCTCACACTTAGCCCAGAAGGAATAGATTATCGGGTCATGTTTGAGACACAAAGGATCCCTGAAAGTGAGTGTGTTATTGTCACAGGTTCTCTGGAAGTGGTGATGCAAGGAAGGACACAGACGGTATTGCTGAACAACAATGTCACTATCTCCTGCAAAGCCTCTGGCTTCCGAATGCTGGACCCCAGTACTGTGGGCATCAGGTGGTATCAAAAGAATCAGGTGTCTAAAGCAGAGGACATGGTGTTAGAGTTATATGGTGATACTAAAGATGTCAGACAACCTGGGACTGAGGTGTCTCTAAAGAGGCTGCAGTCGGGTGATGCCTCACTGCAGCTGCCTGGTGTCCACCTGTGGGATGCAGGAGTGTACCGGTGCCGGGTGGCAGTCCCCTATGAGAAGGCACATGGAACGGTCTTGCTGGAAGTTCTGGGTGAGTACCTATGGACAGTGCCCTGCAGTCACCCTGCTGCTGGGTCCTGGTGTGAGCTTGCCCTTGGGGTACCCATTGGGGCAGAAGGTTAACATGTGGGTCTATCCCAGACATGATTCCCCATTCTGGGCTTCTGTAAACACCTGGATCCCTTCAACGAGTCTTTACTCACTCTGAACTTCCATCTACAAAGTGGCTTGTAGGCAAGAGTGCAGCAAAATAGAGATGAAATGCTTAGCGTGGTGCTCGGACCTTGCAAGAGCCCAGTTAATGACAGCCTTGGCAATTGTTCTATAATTCTCCTCTTGCAGGATCAGTCAGTGTCACTAAACAAGTGACAAGTTACTTTTCTCCTGGGAAAGGAGAGGTGAGTCACTGGGCTACCTGGCTGGACTGACCTAAATCCTCTTGCAACCTTGGCACTTCTAACCTGTGACTTCAGCCAGTCATTTAATAGCTGTAAACCTGAAGTTTCCCATGCAGACATGGGCTGGTAACTCCTACCTGCCTCCTGGTGAGATATGCATGAAACAAGGTTGGTGGCACATGTATGAATTTCCAGTGACCTGGGAGGCTGAGGCTGGAAGAGCTCAAGTGTGAGAGTGGCCTGGACAACTTGGTGAGATTCTCTTCCAAAATATAGCCAAAATTATAACTAATGAAGACAGATGGAAAAAATCCAGCAAAAACTTGGCTGAGTAGTAGTAGCTCAGTGGTAAGGGTGAAAATATCGAGCTGTGCAATGTAGGTAGGTTCTCAGTCAAGGCTCAAAACCTCCCATAAAGCTCTTTGAGCCTCTCTGTCCTGCTTTGTAAAAGCATGTGATATGTGAGTGAGCTTCATGGTCTACTAGTTAGTTACTTAACCACAGATGTCTATTTTCATATCATTCTGGATTCTGAGTCTGAGTTCAGGGTGTCAGCAGGGTTGATTTCTCCTCAGTCCTCTCTTCTTGACCTTCTCTCTGTTTTCCCTTAGGGTCCTTTTTTCTGATTCTGGTTTTTTGTCCTTAATCTCTTTTTATTGAGAAGACACCAGATATAATACATGAGGACCCATCCTTACAATCTCATTTTCATATAATCATCTCTTTAAGAATTTATCTTCATGGGCCTGTGAGATAGCTTGGAGGACTAAAGGGCCTGCTTAGGAAGTTTGGGCAAGTGCTGGGACCGTGGTTTGATCCCCAGCACCACATGTCTCCCTAGCCCCACCCCCAGTGCCAGCTGAGCAGGCCAGAGCCTGGGTGTGGTGGCACACACAAGTAATCTCAGCGCTGGGGAGGTTGAAAGTAAGAGGGTCACCGCAAGTCTGAGGTGCATGGTGAGACCCTGCAACAGCAAAAATACATAAATAAAAAAGAATTTATCTTCAAATCTTCATGTTCTGTGATACTAGGAACCTTGTGGAGGATGTATGAATTTTAAGGAGACTCAGTTCATAAGAAAAGAGCAGTATTATTTTTTGAAGACACAGTGTTTATTCTGCTAAAATCAAAATGTTGAAAAGAGTACCTTTTTGAAACCCACTCAATGCATTAGTCACAAAAATTCATTAATTCTGCAAATCACAGAGATCCTAAATTAACAGTGGCTTGGAAATCAATTCCTGGTATCACTGAACATAGAAAATAGAAATGGATAGACTTAGAAGTTGGGTTCTCTATTCCTAGCACTGTGTAGCATTTGTCATTTCATTATCTGCTTGCCTCAGTATGGTGACATTCATTTAATCAAAAAACCACTATTGATGAGTTATTGTTAAGTTAATCATTGATTCAGATCTCTTTGGTTTTAATTAATTAATACCCATTCTCTGTTCTGTGATCCATCCAGAACACCACATACCTTTCCTTTGCCTGTCTCCTCAGTCTCTCTCTGTCTTTGACAGTTTCTAATCTTTAGCTGATTTTGATGTCTTGGGCATCTCTCAGGGGTAGTGGTCAGGTATTTGGAGGATGCCGCTCTTGGCATCCGTTTGCTGCTCTTCTCTTTTTTTTTTTTTCCATAATTTTACTGAGAAACAAATAGCAATGAGACAGTTTCAAATCAAATTGGCAGGACAGCTTCACTAATTAACACATTGCATACATTCTTCCTAGTGGTTAATTGCTGTACAAGATGCAGACATGATATCCTATTTACAAACACTATTAGAACACATCCCTCAATTCATTAAGAGAATGTAACTGTATATCTATCCTAACCACTTTGAATATACAGATGCAAAATGTATATTCATCTGTATACCCTTTTTTGTTAAGTTCCATTATATGAATATTATAGGTGTGTAAACTCAGCAAAATATTCTAAAAGAGCTCAGTAGTCTATAATAGTAATGGGTCTTCTGCTTGACAGGCAATGTCAGAAATTGTTGACCTGAATCCCCTATAGCTCAACATAACAGCATGGCTTTACTTCTTGTACTTCGTTTTTATACTTTTCTGCTGCATGGTTAAGACCAGGTTAAAGCAGGACCTATGCAACAAGAGTTGTAGCTTTTGGGTCTGATAACGTCAGTGAAATCTCCTCTGCTCTTCTGATTTTGGAAGGGTGGTCACAGAAGTAAGGGGAGTTTGTGTCACATGTCCCAGCACACAATTTAAGTCTCTTGATGTTGCTGTTGATCAGCGTGCACAGTAGTGGTAATCTGGCTTCTTCACCGTTCAGTTCCTCTCCCTTCCTGCCTCTGGGTTCTGGTCTTTGAGAGGAGGTCACACTTTTTATGAGGCAAGAAGAGAAAAAACAGTTGGTTTGAGGCCCAACTCTTCATCTTTTGTTCCCTGGCAGCTCCACCAAACTGCACACTGAATCTGGAACAAACCACAGAGAAAAATAAAGAAAGTCACAGCAGTCACAGCAGTCGCCTTGCATGCCAGTGCCATGGGTTTCATTCAAAAGACATTAACAGAACGTGGGTGAAGTGGAACCACAGTGCTTCCCAGGACGAAGTGATTTCCGAGGGCAACTGGACTGATCCTGTCATCACGAATGAGAATGCTACATTCACCATCACCAGCTACTTGGTAGTCAACTCTACAGAAGACAACCTCTACTGTGAGGTGCAGCACCCATCCTTGCCCACTCCCTTGAGGTTGAACATCACAGTGCCTGTGGGAGGTAAGTGTCTTCTTGCCTATATCCTCACTCTTTTTTCCTTTATTAATTTCTTTATTGGAACTGGGAATGGAACTCAGGACCTCCCACTTGCCAGGCAGGTGCTGAGCCACTGAGCTACATCCCTGGTCCTGTTTCCTCACTGTTACATCTAGGGCATATCATGGATCTCTCTGGTTCTTGGCCAGTCTAGATTCCTTGCTAGCATTTGACAGGGAAAAAAAATAAGGTGGGCTAAAGGTACAAACTGGAGTCTGGGCTAGCTCAGGCTCAGAGGCTACACAGTTTGAGTACAGTTCCTGTGTCCAGTCAAATGACATGGAAGGTGGAAAAGCTTGACAGTGGTCATCAGGTGGAAACAGGGCTACTTGTCAGCTCGTGGCAATCCTACTGCCTCCGTTTGTTCCCATCTATGAATGTTCACAAGGTGAGGTCCATTTGTATCTGCGAGTGTTCCCAACTCCAATGTTCGTAAGTTAGAGTTTCCTGTACTCAGATGTGGGAGATGTATGATAGCAGTGGGAATGCTGCAACCTGTGGCTTGTGTTTGGTAGTGGGATCCCTTGACAGGAAAGTGACCCAAAGCTCACTGGTGCTAGTAGCAGTTATACTGTGTGGGCTGCCTTAGGCTCTTTGGTTTCTCTTTGCTGTCCTGTTTTTCGTTCTTTCTTTCTTTTTTTTTTTTCCTGCAGAAACTAATGCAACACCTCTGGGTAGGTCTCGATACATGTGGATCCTGTGGATCCTTGCTCCTGCTTTGATGGCACTGATTTTTTTAGTGATTTATCTATTACTATTTGGAGAAGGTAATGGGCTCTGTCATAGTTATTTTTCTTGTTGCTGACAGAAAATACCTGAGAACTGAAGTGGAAGGTGGAAAGGTTTATGTGTCTCACAGTGTTGAGGTTTCATCCATAATTTGCAGGCTCCAAGGAAAGTGGCTTCCTCCAGCAGCACATTTCATGCCAGATGGAATTTTGCAAAAGCAGTAAGGGACCAGAGCTTTTTTGTTATTATTTTTTCCTTACCTTCTATGCAATTCTATTGATGTTACTGCAATTGGAACAGTACCAAACCAATCAGTGGACGGTTTTGGTAACCACATACCTGTAATTCCAACATGGTACCCTAATTACACACTCCAGATCCAACCACCTCTGGACAAACCTCATCTAATGACTTCATGATGCTTTTGGGGGAGAAAACTAGACATAAGCTATAACATGTTCTGAAAGAAAATGTCCTATGTTTTAGCCTTGGCTTCAAGACCTCAGGGTCATGGTCAGTGCTCGGGTCAAGGAGTTCTGAGGGCTGGCACTGGTGTATTTTACATGTTGTGTGTTGTACTCTCTGATGTCGTGGGGAAGCACTTTGCCATGCCATCACCATGTGTTGGTTTCTGGTGCTGAGCCAATGCGCTGTGGAGCTCCCTTTGGCCCCATACAATACATCTGTCAGCAGACTGAATCTGACCAGGGGAGCTCAGACCGGGGCTTTGACCAGGGAGCTTAGCCAGGAGCAGATCATGCAGTTCTCACACACAAAGCCCACAGCTGAGAGCAGCGAGTTCCTCCTATGCTTGCTGGTGTCTGCTTCATACCTTCGTGGGATAACTCACCAGGAGTATTTTCTCCTTCAGTTTGTTTCTGCACAGAATCCTTGATTGTGGCCCAAATAGCAAGTGACACAGCCTTAAGCTTTGCAGACCCAAGAGCCCAGGGAGATTGTTTTTGTTCAAATGGTTCTATCTTTGTTTTTTCTACTTTCAGCGCTGGGGCTTGAACTCAAGACCTCAAGCATGCTAGGCAAGCACCCTACCCCTGGGCTATAGCACCACTGCCTAAAATTGTTCTAGAGCATACCTTCTTCTTAGTTATGCATGGCCCTGCCAGGGTGAAATCTGTGTATGTGCCAATACTTCTCATGGGAAATGAAAAGTCAGAAATGGCCTTTGTCCTGAGGAGAACTGCTCATCACACATTGGTTAAGTGATGTGTGGAGCTTATTCTCCTGGTGGGAGGTAAGCCAATGAGAGAACTGGGTGTAGAGTGGTTTTCACATTCTTTTTTAATATGCCTGATTGTTTTTCTATTTTTGTCCTTTGTTTGATTCTGTTATGCAGGTACCATTCTTATCACCGAATATGCAGCAGTGACACTGAAGAAGAAGGCACAGCCCTGAGAAGTGTGGCTGGGTGCCCAGCTGACTGCAGTCATCCCATGGGTGGCTGGAATCCTTCCCTCGCAGTTTACATGGATGAGTTCAAGCCTTCATGCATGTCCATGTCCTCACTGTTTGCTGCATCTTTTTTTTTTTTGATTATTAAAAACTCTAAACTTTCCCCCCCATTTATTTAATGCAAGATTAGAAGAAGCTTTCTTAGCTTATATCTCTTCTGCAGTTTTCTGTTAAAAACTGATGTTCTGTTTTATGATCAACAGAATGGTGAAGACTGTGGCCTCCCATTCAGTGTAAAAATAATTTG